GGGCGGCTTTTTCTCCTGGTGTTGAACGGCTTCGGGGGTCGATTTGTCGGCTTTGCCACCGCGACTGACGCAGCAGTGGACTGGCTCCTGTTGTAGTCCATGCACAGGGTATCCCGGTCGCCCTGCTCGGGCAGCAGGTCGCACCTCATCCGATCCGGCCAAGGAAAGCCGTATTGCCGCATCAGAGGCGCACAGCCCGCCTTGGCGCGCTCACACACGCTCCTGCACGGGGGCAGTGGTTTCTTGTAGTCCTCCAGGCAGATCGGCGTGTACATGCTGCACAGGAAGAAGCGCAAGTCCGCCGAGCACTTTATCTCCACAAGGGGCCAAAACTGGTGCACCTCCAGACCAGCCTCGTCCTGCGTGTCGTGGTTAAATTGATTGGGCATGTAGGTGGAGTTGTAACCAATTCCCTTGCACAAGGGCACAGTGATCTCCTGGCACTTCAGCTCCTTGGCTGCCGCGCAGCGCGTTGTTTGGTGCCAGATTAGGGTCAGGAGATGCAGGAACAGAAGTGCGCACCTCCCGGGGACGCGCCGCTCCATCTTTGCTGTCGTCGCGCAGAGGCGCAGCGGAATGTATGTCCCACAGTTACTCCACTGATGAGGTCATGCTGTGATGTGCAAGAGTTTATGCTCTTCCAACTAGGACATCCAAGACGCACAGTCTCTGTGACACTGACAGCATCTCCCTTTCTTTCCCTCTCTGTCGGCCACACACAGCCTCCTCCTCCTTCTGACTCCCTGGATTCTCCTGGGGCGGTGGATGTGTGAGGTTTTATACACAGACACAGTCAGGACACACCTACAGTGTGGTGGAGAAGGGAGAAGTTAATCCACCCATCCTTCTATAGAATGTTTGTTTAAAATCTTACCGGATGAGGGAGGGGCTGCGGTCATCATCATCATCATCATCATTAGTAAACAACACGCACTGATATTGGCTGTCTGACTGAGTAATTGACAGACAGAGTGACCATTTTTTAAAAATGTAGTTAATTTTAATCAGCGTTAAATTTCATATAATTTATTTTTGACCTTCTATTTCTACGGCTTATGCAGCCAGATATTAACGAAGAAAATAATTTAACTTTAAAAGGGCTAATTTGTATTTATACAAGTGTATATGTATATAGGAAATTATTAATATATATCAACCAAAATATTAAGCATTTATTTCTATCCTCAGTCACAAACTACTTACGAATATGCTGTTAAACTAATCTAAAGATTTAAAATATTTTTTTGTTATTAATATTTGTTGTTATTATAACTTTTTAATATATTTTATTTATATATATTAACTTTGAATGAGACAAACGGTGCAATACTATGCCGCACCGAAGGGGACAGTCGTGAGTTCGACAGGTGATTGTTGCTGCTGTTATTCTATGCTACAACTGTAGTCGCTAATCAGTTAGCGATATTAGAAAGTTATGTTTATTTATATAATTGACACCGTATTACTAATTTGATAACGCCAAGAATATCCGCAGAGGAGGAGAGAGAATTATACACTGAAATTTAAAAAATAAGGTAAGAACATAATCGTTTTTATTTATTTAAAATGACATACTGTATGCTGGTAAAAACAATATTCACTTTTTCGTGTTTTATGTTTGTTGAAAAGTCTATATTAAAATTGGAAAATGGAAATATAACTTTTTGAATAAAAGAAAACACAGAAATAGTATCCTTTGTTTATTTTGAAAGAAAATCACAGGATGCAAAATGTTTAAAACATGGAGGCTGCAGGACAGATGTGTCTCTTACACAGGTGTGTGTAAAGAATGGTTATTTGATATGAAACATAAACAGTTGTTTATTTGTCTTTTGACAATTTAGGAGTAAATGTGCTGCAGTGTACTGGAGTCTGTTTAGTGTGTTTTTCTTTATTAAAGTATTCTTTCTGCATTAGACAAGGCTGCCATTCTTAAAGCATCCCATAAAGAGAGATGTTTTTTTTTTCACGTATGTGAATGAAGTTACTCACTTTGTTTGTTCGTCTGCATCTCTCTCCCTCCTTCTCTGTGTGTGGTAAAAGTTTGAGGTGGTTTTGTGTGTCTTTACATGAATGCCAATGTCTTAATGGCAACATGCTGAGCCACTAATTACTGTGATGCACTGCCAAGCCCAGCCTTAAGAAAACAAACCAATACAGTCAGATAAAAACATCGTAATAGCATTTACAATAATTAACACGTCTTGTTGACTTTGTCAATTGGAACTGGAGCAGGGCAGTTTGACAGACAGCACAGTGGTGTGTGTTTGCGCCTCATAGGTTTTTTTATCACAAGTAATTAGTATTTGTTGGAGATTTAGTTCAGATAAACCTTTTAGGTGGGGCATATTGTGAAAAGGAGTGGGTTTTATTAACAGATATTCATAGCTAGGCTTTAGTCTTCTTAGTACTGTAACAGGTACCCAGTGGTGTTTTGTGGTTTGATGGGTGTGAACCCTGTGTTTAATCCAGTCTGTAGCAAACATCTGGTCCACTCAAAGACTCGGGTCACTTTAGGATCATATTCTTTGATTAAATTGCTGTTATTGCCACATGACTCTGTGTTATTTCACATGAACAATGTTCTACTACAGTTTATAAGAATTGTAATGCTATTGTGAATTTCTTCAATATATTTTCTGCTATTTTTGGACTGTGGGAGGAAAGAGGAGTGGAAGACATGCAGAACTCCACAGAGAAAATACAATAAAAAAAATACAGTTTCAATGTGGCTATGTCAGACAAGTGGTTCCCAAAGTGGGGGCTGCAACCCATGTGTGTAAATTGTACAGATTCTTAAATTAAATTAATTTATTTTCTTCAGTGAAAACAAAATCACAAGATTTTTTTTTAAGATGAATTTGAGCAGGAAACAAAGGCTGTGAATGTGTAGTGGGAGTGGGACAGGACTTCACTATAGGCCTGTATGGATATAAAGGGGGGCCCTGCTGGAAAAGTTTGGCTACCCCTGGTAGACGCTGTGCCCCTCACTGAGCTGTTAGCTACAGATAAAAGCCTCAGGAACCCAGTGCATCCTCCTCCTCCTCCTCATTCTGCTGCTACTAAAAAAAACAGCAGGACGAACATGACATACACCGATCACCGCCTCACAGACTGGAGATCGTATTGATTGACATTCAGATAGTCTCATTCAGCTCCAGCCACCAACTGTCGACTGTGCCCCCCTCCTTTGTGCAGTCGCAGTACTGGGTTTAGGGTTACGTGGTGCCATATTTAAAATGGGGTTAATGGAATATCTTCATCTGTGCAGAAGTCATTTTCTACATTCTTTGAGCCCACTCTCCAATCTCTCCTTCAAACTTTCATCTGATTTTCCTAAGACTCTCAAAGTTCACAATTTCATGATAATTTAATATTTAGCCAAAGCCTCACCTTCTATTACTAGTGAATCAACATGATGATATTTTCATTAGAATCTTCCATTTCTTCCATTCTCTATTTTACATAATTTGTGATAAAGTGATAAACTGCTTTTGCTGTAGAGTTGGCAATATTCTTTTGGATTGGATATGTTTCTACAGAGGAGATTAGATAGGATTGAAATTGAAAGATGAGTAGGGTGGGGAGAGTGGGGGGAGTGNTTTCACAAACCATTTTTTGGATCAGAGGTTTAATATCTGCAGCCAATCTTAAGTTCTGTTGATACTGATGTGACTGATGGAGTGTGATAGAGACACAGTATAAAGTCTTCTAAAAAAATGAGGGGGAAACATTTTGATGAACAATTATTCTCTTGTTTAATTAATTGATTAAAAAGTGAAACCACAAAAACAGAACCCTCAGTTGATTTGCGTCTTATTGTATTTATTTTCTCTTCAGTCGTTCTGCTGTGGCTCTGGAATGGAGCAGTGATGGCAGCGTTGGGTTTCGCTCGTGGGTCTTTGGACGGGGGTCTCAGGGGAGGAGTGGATATCCTGAGTGCTGCACAGGCACTTATGAAGGACACACATTGTTGCAAGCCTTGGAGAGAAAACTGAGCACTCTGGCAACACAGGCGGAATTTCCTACTGTGATGTTATCTCACACAAGACATTTAGCCTTGGCCAAATGAAGGAGAGAGGGCCGGGGGGAGTGGGGAGGGTTAAAGGAAACAGGAGAAAAACGTGAATGAAAGATGGAGCATCGTGAATCGCAGTGTATAGAGTCAGGATAACCGCCCACAGATAAAACAATTATGGCAACTTTTGTTGTTGCTACTTAAGTTGCACTATAGCAGCAGTTCGTTCCCAGGTGTCTGGGGGCTGTGGTGGGGGGGCAGGACAGGCAAATGCATCATGAATATTGCATTTTGGTAATGGTGACTTAGGGTAAAGTTTTGTTAATTTATAATTAATTTAAGTTTTGTAACAACTCCAACCACTATATTCATTTAAGATGAAATGAAACATTCTCCCTATTGGCTGTAATTTGTACATACACTTGTACTGTGTTCACAAAGTATATTTACTAATAAATTAATTTTGTTAAGAACTTTGTCCATTATTCACAGTGTTCGTCTACAGACCTCAACAAAGTCTGGTTCCCACAGTGGAGTCGAAGGAAGGCAATTATATCTGAATAATTTCAGAGGAGAGACATTTGACTTGTAAATTAATTTCAGAGGAGAGACATTTGACTTGATGTTAGTTGTGTAGTTAAATAGTAATAGAATAAAATCTACCCAACAGTCAGTGACCACTTCAAGAACAGCCTTTTATCAACCTTGATTTGAACCTGAGTGGACCCTGCATCTGACTCCGACTGCCTCCGATCGTCCCGTCAGTTTGAAACAGCGTTTATTGTGAAGTGAATGGACGTTTGTTGTGGTCTGTCTGAGTGAAGAGACCTGGTCCTGGTCAACTTAGCTGTGCGACAGGCGATAGGGTCTAAATCCAAGGTGGAATGGCTGCAAGAGTCGACCTGCTCTTAAGAGATTTACCACAGAACAAAGGAGATTCAGTCAGTAGCTGAGAGGCTGCACTTACACTGGGGACCAGGAGGCCGCGGCGGAGTGTGCGTCTGGGCGTGTGTCTGCAGTGTGTGCTTGACAAATGGCCAACATGACGAGGTTGGACTCCATTTCTAACCAACAGTGTTCGTTTTAAATGGCATGACTCTTAAACTCTCACTCTGTTCTTCGTATACTTTATATATATGTATATATAAAATAGTCTAATTAAAAAAAGTTTTTGGGTTAAAGTAGTATTATGATTTAATTATATCCTCAAAAACTTGGGACATTTTTTTTATCATAAACATGTGACTTTTTTCTTTTAAAGTTTCAACTTTTTCACAAAATGTACAACTTTTTTCCCATGTGACCCTAATACTTTGTCCTCTCCCTAATGAAGGTTAAATAAAAGGGCAAAAGAAAGAGAAAAAAAAAGCTTTTCTTTTCTATGAATGAATCTCCGGCCACACCTGCTGTCCCTTCTGTTCTTCCCACTGAATTCATCCAAGAATGCAGACGAGTCATTGACGTATAGATACATGATATCGGATATCGTTAGTCTGGGAGCATCACAAAGAAAGCTGGGCTTTCACAATCAACTCCAAATCACCAGACGTGACAGTTGGAAACAATATATGAACAACTCCTGCGGAATAATACAGAAAAAAACATTCCCATGCAGTCAAAAGCTGTGTGAAAAAGAGGAAAGAAAAAAAAACGCTGTCTTTGTTGGGCTCCCCACTCATGTTGCCCCTGTTATGCTGCGTTTCATGTGTTTCCCAGTGGATACACACTTCTCGACTCGAGGAACATTTTGCCTCCTGAACTCAATCTCGGTGCCAAGTCTTTGGCGTCTTTAGGTTCTCACTCGGCCAGATCATTTCCCACGCCAAACATGTTAGA